GTAAATGTCATATCGTTCGTTCGATTTTACGATGGGAAAAATAATGCGGATTCTTGTCCTGTGTTTTCTTTTGCTTAACCACTATTAATTGATGATCAAACACTGTTTACTTTTAATGAAATTTGGAATATTCGAACTAATTGTACATGTCTTGCAGTGAAGAGAAAATATACAGGTCCGGTGAGAAGTAAACTCGGTTGTTTGGAGCTAGTTTTCTGAGAATAGAGAGCTAATGTTGATGATCATATATTTAGATGAGAGCAAGGTAGGCCTGCGGTTACCAAATTTACGGTTTACCAAAGTTAAATACCAGATTGTGTCGTAAAAACGGTATATCTTTAATTTTTCAAAGAAACTTCCACAGGCTACCTAATATTTTTTATAAAACTTCTGGATTCCTCTTCCGTCGGTTTTTCTTGACTCGAACCAGCTAACGTTTCGCCAATCATACAGTTGACTTCTTCAGAGCTGGACTGAAACTGATTCGCATTTTACTCTGTACCTGCTATATTGTTTGAGGGGGGCGGAGGTAAATGCTAAATTTATAGGTTGCTTATAGATTTCTATATACTCTCGGATTTTTCGTTGATCCTTCATTATATTCAAAACATCACTGGCCACATATCAAAAGTTCTAAAGAAATATAACGTCGCTTGTTCAAAAATCTCTCAACATCTGCGATTTGAGAGGTCAGGAGCATATCCTCCAAATAATGCATTGGAGAGACCGGACCAAAAATATCAACTGGGCTTAAAGAACATGAAAGAGCTTTAAGACTTAGACAAATAAACTCATCAGCGGTTGCCGAACACAATCACAAAACCGGTCATAAAATTTTATTCGATAAAACTCAAATTCTTGCCTATAATGAATTCTTCTACCAACGAAAAATCCGAGAATCTTTAGAAATCTATAAACAACCTAACTAAAATATGGTAATCAGTCATCCGAGAAGGTGATTATGCCCCTCATTTAGCTCCGCCCCCTTCAAACAATATATAAGCAGGTACAGAGTAAAATGCGAGCCAGTTTCAGTCGAGCTGTGAAGAAGCCAACTGGCTCATTGGCGAAACGTTAGTAAAAGTAAAAGTTATTGGTATATTGTTTGAGAACCTTTACCAAATCTCAATACATTTGGCAAATAAAATTAACACAAAGCGTTTGATTTTATATATATTTTTAAGTTCGACGATAAACAAAAATAAAATTCAAATCACGAAAGTTGGCTACGAAAAGAGTGTTCCACTTTCAAAAACAAGGGAAAGACGCAATAAGACTGGAGAAGACTCAAATTATTAAATGCGTTGTAACTACAATTTTTCATAAAGTTTTCCGATCTGATCAAAACGTCCGAACACTGGGGACTATGTCCAAAGTTAAAGGACAACCTTAAAAACAATATAGAATCATATTTTGCTAGAAAAAATTGCCAATTAAAAATAGGTGCATTTTTAACATCAATTTGTAAATGGCAATGTCTACGGGACTTAACGAATTCAGTTACGTAATTAAAGTTGGTATTAGACTGTTACTGTAAATATCTAACCAAAACCAACGCATACAGCCAAGACTGACCAAAGAATTATACTACAGCTGTGCAGCGAATCTAAACAGGGACTTTTTGCACCCTATGAAGTTCTTTCCTTATGAATTGTGGGTTTCTATAGTGATTTAAACGAAAAAATTATGTTTGTAGATGGACTGGCGTGGATAATAATTACAAACCTTTAAGGAATATTTTATGTTAAACCAAATTATCCCACGTTTCATAGCTTTTCATTTACGGCTAACAATTTATCCACGAAAACAGCAATTTTCAGGGCCTTTTGGATATTTTTGGTCATTAATTAATGCTCTGATTTTTTTCACTCAGCCCAAAATGACGACAACAAATTTTTCGAAAATTTTTCAAAAATATTTGCCGATGACCAAATGCACCTAACTTTTACAATTTAAATACGGGGGTGGACTTCTACCGCGTTGCCAAATTTGAAGTCAATAGCTGCAAATTTCGGGCACTTGTAGCATTTTTCAGCCTAACACGATATACATCAAACACCCTGTACAACATGCGAACACTTTAAATATAAAAGTTATAACTCTGGCTATGGGCTAAACTGCTATGTAGAAGAAACCACCGACTGAGTAATAGTGTATAACTTACAATTTTCCTTTGAAATGTAACTAAATTTTCAGCTTTTTGGAAATACCGGCATACCCTGTATATTTTCAAAAAATGTGCCAAGAATAAAAGTTTAGGGGCGCCTGTATATTTTCAAAAAATGTGCCAAGAATAAAAGTTTAGGGGCGTCAATATTCTGCGTCCTTTCGTTAGAAATTTTTTTCGATCCGATGAACGATATTCGAGAAATGGTAACTTTTAGGTTTTTGAAAAAAAAAATTGTTTTCGAAGTTAAAAAAATATTCAATAGGTTCCGTCACGGGCCTAGACGCTATACTTTTGCCAAATTTCAAATCGATAGGTTCAAATTTCGGACACTTATCGTGTTTCATAGCAAAGTTTAAAAAACAGTCGAAAATCGAAAAACAAAGATGGACGCCAAGGTCCGATCGCGGCCATTTTTACGTATATTGTGCGGATCGTGGACGGTAAAAAAGAAGCCAAATTTCAAGCCTCTATCCTAATCCGTTCGAAAGTTATGGCCCTAAATGGGTTCGGTCTACAGAGAACGGAGAAGAAATAAAAATATTTTTTGTACCGTATACCAATGGCGGTCTCGTAGGACCAACCGTTAAAGGATATAAAGTATAATTGGACAACTCGTTTGACTGCGAAAGCAAATTTTCTGAGCGAGGTAAAATATTTTGTCATAACTGGTCCTTTACGGTTAGCAGTTGACGTTTCAAGTTCGCTTTCGACGTGTTATTGCCGGTATAGAAATCGAGATCGACTTATGTTTCGTGTGTTATAATCGTATTCATCAAACGAGAAATTTGTACAAGTTGGAAAGTTAAACATCGAGACAAGTTTCGTGATTTAATTAAACTGGAATACCTACTTTTTTAAACTATCAACGCGTATTCTTCGAGTCACAAAAATATCGGACCGAGTGAATGGTCGAGCTAAATCCGTTACTCGTAAAACCGGGACTCGACTAAAAAAACGACGCCCATGCTGTTATTCTACAGGGCGTCCAGAAAAAATAAACTTGCATATTGAAAAATTAATGAGCATTGGTAAGCACTCCTTAAAATACAGTTCAGGACACGAATTTTGCCAATTTATCTGTCAAAACAGTCAAAATAAATAAGAACAAAAAGTTCAGATTTTTACGACATTTCGTGAAAATCTTATTTATTTTGATAAATTTTCATCAAGTAAAAGCCACCTCAGTTCAATTTTTGTCAAAACAGTCTATAAGATAAAGACTTAAAACATGTTTCCGGGTATTTAAATAAAAAAAAAATGTTCATATTAAGTGACAAGGCTCAACCATTTACTTATTATTAGCAAAAATAAAAAAAAATACAATTTATTAATCTCTTATTGTAAATATCTGTTTTCGTGTCAAAAATCAAAAGTACCTTGCTTTAAAATTAAGAATCGCGCTATTGGACAATTTTGCAAAAAAAGACCTTTCATTTTAAGTAAAATACAGAAATTTTGGTTACAATTTGCTAATAAGATACTGTATTGTACGTGATTTAAATTATAATATTATTAAAAAAATATAACTGGTGATATGGCGATACATTTTGATCAAGGTAAAAAATACGGTGCACAAAACAAAATTTGCAACTTGCTAAGACATATCTTAATAATAGTGAATCAATAGAAATGTAATAAACATTCAACACAATCAACAAGTTCTGATAACAATTTACCAATGTCTACACATCAAAACTTTGTTTTTTTGTTTAGCTAATGTCTAATTTTACTACATCTACGTATTAGGTTTACGTTATCATTTTTTTAAACTATTGTCCTACCTATTTATTACACTCTTTCTATTTTTTTACGTTTGCCAGCCATAAATATCAATTAACTAATTAACACATCATTGATTAGTAATATTTATCAACCGAAACCAGGATTAAAGGAGGAACGAAAAAATCTATAGAGAAAACATTTTGGTCCATTTTTATAAAGATTAAACTTAAACAATGGCGATTCTACAAAGCCTGCATTATTTTTTAAAATTCGCAATTTTTTCTAAGTTGCTATAAGATTGAATTTCAACTTTCAGTGTGATTGTAATTAATTTCAATTTAAGTTCGAAATCATCGGCAGGTTAGTTGCAATTTTCATAAAATTTGACGCCCTGCATGTAATTGGTGAGTTGAGGTGGCTTTAACTTGATGAAAATCCATTTAACAGAATTAAATTAGAACAAAAAATGTTCAGATTTTCACCTTATTAATTTATTTATGACAGTTGTTTCGACAAAATCGTGCCTTTATCAAATACAAAATATATTCATCAATATACATCTATATACGAGGTGTGTTCAAAAACTGAGGTGAGTTTTAAGTTTTATCGACAAGTATTTATTGATTCATCACAAACATATGTTAGGGACATGTGTACCAACATAACACACAAAAATATCGAAGATCGAATGTACGTAGCCCTCCCAATTACAAAAGTCGCTTTACTTTTTGACCACACCTCGTATATAAACAAGTAGTAATATAATCTTAATTACCGGAGACGCATTTAAATCCAATTGGTCATTAAGCGATAGATTCCAGTATCTTATTTTTTTTGTTTGACGATAATCTTGAAATTTTAAGTGAAGAATATAAAAGCAAACAACCAATTTTTTTGGGACCTATGTAGATTAACAAAATTTTTGTATTTGGTAAAGGCACGGTGTGGTCTAAACAACAATTTAATGGTATAATTACTTAAATTAAATTTATAAAAAATCAATTACAAACTAGAAAGAAATAAAATATATTTTGCTATTCCATCTTATTTAAACGGGAAATATGAAGAGACGAGCACCCTGGCCTTAATTCGATAGGGTGTCGTCCCCCCCTTGAAAGTCGGCTAAAGCTCTGGAGGTGTCGTATAAAAACGAAAACAACATTCTCCCAAAGACTTTCTTCGGCGGATATACAAGAAGTGTTACGGCATGTGCAGACTGTGAAACAAGGTGTAATGGTGATGGTGATTAGTTGAAACAATTTAACCGTGCGCTCTGATCGTGTTTACCGTTCGACTTGCTATTTGGATTACAGATATCATGGTAAGAAAACGGTTTTGTGTTTTACGCAAAAAATATTTCGCATTGCCTTATATTATTTTATTTTATTTAGTAATCGACAGATTCATGCTCAATGGCCTTTCAAGTCAATATAATTTTAACAAATACGGGCATGAGGCTAACCATAATGATTATTATCGCTAAAAAAAAGCAATTTAACTGAGCTGCAATTAACTAATGTTTGTAGACCAAAATTACAACCTATCTAAAATGTCTCCATATATAAATCGCAATTAATCAAAACTGTTTGGGTTACTCTGGGAAGCTCAAACGCTTTGATGAGCAAAATCTACACTAAAGTGTAGTTGATTAACAAAGATGAGGAAAATCTATTCCATCCCATTATAATTGATACCAAAATATAACTTCCGCGATTTTCCTCTCTGTGTAAGGTACCTCATTATTTTTGCATATCGTTTTTGTATAACCCATAAAAGGGGCTCCATATGATACAATAACAATGTTCTAAATTACTTCTGTCGTATGCAATAAATAAGTGAAAGATATTGTAACATAACATTTATTAAACTTAAATTTTAGTTCAACCTATTTCCGAGTTAAATCTACTAAATGTATCCTATCACATCCATAGATGGAATACTGGGAAATAAGTTTTGTACATCAAAAGACAATGAGTAAGATTACGTCTAGTGAACCCCAAATTTACCACTTGATCATAAAAATTTAATCTATATATATATATATATATATATATATATATATATATATATATATATATATATATATATATATATATATATATATATATATATATATATATATATATATATATATATATATATATATATATATATATATATATATATATATATATATATATATATATATATATATATATATATATATATATATATATATATATATATATATATATATATATATATATATATATATATATATATATATATATATATATATATTTATAAGTACTTATGATTGAAAATTGATCCTCCAACGATTTTTTAAAATTTTGATTTTAACAAAAAAAAAATTATAATGAAAATTCTAAGCACTTTTAATTAAAAATTGGATTAAAAATCAACCGTGAGATAAATTTATGAAATTTTCAGCATCCATGGTGAAATGTCTATAATTTAAGAATATATTAACAACTTAAAATTATTTGTTAATTTTCGTATTATTAACAAACTTATAAGTTACCAAATGAAAATTTAACTGATTTCTTGGTAAAAAAAATAATGTTTTTTTTATCGGTCACCTGCTTCATCCATTTAAGTTTAAGATTCCGGAAGAAAATTTCACTGCTCTTCATTAGTTTAAATAAAATAAATTTATTTATGACAGCGCGCTGCGCTACCGAGCGTGTCCGACTGCATTGAAGGTTTTATCAGTGTTAATTTAAAATTCTATTATTACTTACGTTATCTTATTATAATTATTATTAATAAAATTTTATTTTTTTAACAATGTTATAAATAATACTATTTTTTTATTATTTTTACCAAACAGCGTAAATTTAGAAAAAAATAATCAACTTTAAATTTTTAAAACTGTTATAGTCCATATTTATTTTTTCTAGGTAATTTAGTAAATCATTATTTTTAAATTTACCAGTCAACACTCCATCTTTAGTTAACAAAAGAAAAACCACTCCGTTACGATTTTCATTTATTTTTCGCGTATCCTAGTAAATAACAAAATCATTTTAGAAGTCATTCCTGTCTATTCGTGACATAAGTTTATACGCAAAGCGTGAAATAATTATTAAAAAAAAAGCTGAAGTGTTATTGAGTTGTGTTTTTTTAGTTAATATTTTAGTATTATAATTTTTAATTGTAATAATAAAATTTTCTGTAATTTAAAATGGGTAGGGTGAATTATGAAATTCTGTGATTAAAAAATTAGTTTTAATTATCATTTAAATATGATTTGGCCAATTTAGTTCATCATAAAAATGATTTTGGTGTTGTTGCTGATTGGACTTTTTTCGCTACATCTCACGGCAAAGGAGCGAGTGATCGCTTAGCAGGGAGTGTAAAAAAACAAGCTTATCGTGTTAATCTTTCCCTTTTTCAGTAGGCCCAAAGTTCTTTTAAAAAAAAAAATAAATTTTTACAAAAATATTACAAACCATTAGAAAACAAAAATTTGATAAAAATAATTGACGATCAATTTACAATTTAATTATTTAAGCTTGTTTGTTTTATTCAGTATGTTATGATTGTTAATATTGTTAAAAAATAAAATTTTATTAATAATAATTATAATAAAATAACATAAATAATAATAGAAATTGTTTTATAATAATATTTTGTATTATTATTTTAAATTATCACTGATAAAACCTTCAATGCAGTTCGAGACGCTCGGCAGCGCGGCGCTTCCACAGCGCTCGGCGTCCGGCGCGCTGTCATAAATAAATTCATTTTGTTTAAACTAATGAGGAGCAGTAAAATTTTCTTCCGAAATCTTAAACTTAAGTGTGTAAAGCATGTGACCGATAAAAAAAACATATTTTTCTACCATGAAGGCAGTTAAATTTTCATTTGTTAACTTAAAAGTTAGTTAACAATACGAAAATAAACAAATAATTTTAAGTTGTTAATATATTCTTAAAGTATGAGCATTTGACCATGGATGCCGAAAATTTCATAAATTTATCTTTTACGGTTGATTTTTAATCCATTTTTTAAGTAAAAGTGCTTAAAATTTTCATTATAAAAAAAATGTTGATAAAATCAAAATTTTAAAAAATCGTTTTAGGGATCAATTTTCCATCATAAGTACTTATAAAAAACATATATAGATTAATTTGTTATGATCAAATGGTAAATGGGGGGTCCACTTGACGTGATCTTACTCAATAGTGTTGCGTTAGAGGGGATTTTGATATCTTTAATTTTGTTGATTAATTCAAAAGAATTTTTTATTGCAAATTTTGGTTTAAAATCTGCGTGGAACTAATTATGCTACACACTTATACACATAAAAACACATTTTTGTTGACAATTTTGATATCTTACATACAGCCACAAAAAGAAGAAAATTACATTTATTGGAAGCCATGGAGATTAACAAAATGAGACAATCAAATGTATTGCTTAACGGTCAATTAAATTTCAACTCTCCTTTATTGAACTTAAATTCTCACAACAACATTAATTAATGGTAGTTTGTAAATATGAAATTTGATAAAGACGCGGTGTAGTCGAAACAATTGTCATGTAAAAACACATAATTTCGTGAAAATCCAATCTCTTGTTTCATGTTAAAAGCGGGTATATCAAATATACCACTAGAAAATTTAAAGAAGAAACCTCTTTATGCAGCAAATAGATTTTTGGCAGATGGCTTACTATTAAATCACCTTTAAATCGACATATTTATTTTAAAAAAATGTTTAAAAAATAGTACTGAAAGGGACTAAACGACATTTTTTACAAATTTAACTACACTGAAAATCATTCTTCTTAATAACGTTATAATAATGTTAACGGAATGAATGTTTATTATTATAAAGATTTTTGACAAACTGGTGATGTCAATTAAGCACTTGAGGAAAAAATAGAAGCCAAAAAGAAAATGTGAAGCAAGGAACTGAGGACTATGACAGAGACCGCAAGTGACAAAGACAGATTCCAGCTGGTTGTCGCTATCATAAAGTAAATCTAAATAATCGCAATATTATATGCATAAATTTTTATTTGTTATTTAGATGCCCAATAAACTGATGTTTTTTTCCAAGTTTCAACTCCTTAGCTAATAGATTTCCTTCTTTCGGCTTTTCTCCGGATTTTGTACTTCCCTCTCTCTCTTATTTGTTCTATTAGGTGCTTTGTTCTTTCTTTTTCTACTTTTCCTTCGGCTAACAGTAACAAATTGCCCGAGGCACGACTAGAAATAAAAGCAATCACAAATTATTATGCACAAATCGGATCGAACGGGTCGCGATGTTTGTGATAACGAAACGCACGGATAATATTTCGTTCGGGAATTAAATAACTATAAGAGTTAAGTAAGCGTTTAAAATTACCATTTCCTACTGGCTTATTTTATTTTTACGGCGGTTTTGGGCCTTATGCAACAGTTATTCGCGTAACGATTACGCTTCGGAGCAAAACGTACCACTGTAGGCTCGGGAAACAATAATCGTATTAATTAATTGTATCGGTTTTATGCAATTTCCCATAGCTGACAATAATGCGTCAATAATGTATCAAGATTATAAAAATTATTTACACGATTAAGAATTTAAGAAGCCAAAGTGTAGAATGATGCGGATTAATGAAAGATTAATAATATAATTAATAATAACAATGAATTAATAAGATTCCGTTATCAAATTAACCAAGTTGATCTATAAAATCTACATTGCGATGACGAAGAAATAGCGTGATATAATTTTTTTCCATGCAGAATATTAATATTTTTTACATAGGTATTTTAGATCGAAGTGCGTGCTGATAATTCAGCCACATTGTGGTCCGTACATTTCGTACTTACTAACATGTATATCAATTATATTCCTCTTCGAAATGGCAAAACATACACGCAGAGCTGCAATACTAGGAATAATAAAAAAGGACTATTTCTTTTATAGTCAGGCTTACGTCTACGCCTACAACGTTATCAAGATAAATTGAACGCAATGTATGTCCAAAATGGACATTCAAGATATTGAATTTATTTCCATATTGATATTATCCGACAAGTCTTTTAGATTTTTGGCCATAACCGATACACCCTGTACATAATCGAGGAAATTACAGAATTAGAGATTAAAACCCTGGATCTCCCACATTTCCTGGTAGATGAAGTTTTCCAATACAGCAAATTGTTTTCGAGAGAATAATATGGAGAAAACCGTAAATACAAATAGTTCTCGATATGGAGTATAAGACTGCTTAAACCAATTGGCTCTACTTTTGACGAATTTTGATTTAAGGCTAATAATTTAATTGCAAAAAGAACAATTTTCACAGTCTTTTAGATTTTTGTCT